AGGTCCTTCCTTATACATTGCAGCTGATTGATATATCTTTTCATTCTCTTTTGGTCTATAGACTCTCTTTTTCTCATCAGTTTTTAAACAGTGTACTTTTGAACTTCTATGATTACGGTGCTCAGAGTCACGGGAGCTTGTGGGAATGCATGTGATACTAGAAATAGTTGCTTTTCGAGGCCTTTTAGTGAACCAGGCACTGTGGCAAGTGCTTTGCATATATTATCTCATTTAACCTTCACATTAGCTCAGTAAGTTAGGTATTATCAGCCCCATTTTATACACATAAAACTGAAGGTTAGGGAGATGAAGCAATTTGCCTGGAATACAAATAAGCTGTGATTCACACCATTCTGATCACAAAGTTCATGTTCCTAATATCTAGGTTACACTGTTGCAGTAAATGGGTTAGGAGAAATTAATGCCATACTGAGTGTGGGCTTAATTTTTATTGGTACTTTTATGAGTCTTTGGGATGGTTCTTAGATTAACAAAGGAAACTGAATGCCATCATAAAATATTCACGTTGTCCATCTAAATTAGGGGAGTCAAACTCATCTTCACCAGGGGGCTCATCAGCCTTGAGGTTGCCTTCAAAGGGATGAATGTAATTTCAACTCCTTAACAGTTAAGAAATAGTTACATTTTATACAGTCCTAAAATTATTTCAGCCCTTTGAAGGCAACTGCGAGGCTGGTGTGGCCCCCAGTGAAAATGAGTTTGACACCTCTGATCTAAATCGACAGACATGTAGTAAGCATATTCTGTGTACACAGAACTGGACAGGAGCTGGGTAAAGTCAGCAGAAAACTTGTATTTGGTCACTGCTTCCAAATGTTCACGATTCAGAGGTTAGGGTGAAGGGAGATAGACAGATATACAAGCAGATGCAATGGATAGAGGACTGTGCTATCATGAAGCTACTAATAAAAAGTGAGACAGAACAGAGAGAAAAAGAATTCTCATTTGGGGGATTAGAAAAAGCTTTTTGAGTTCATGGGAACTGCAAGGCCCTTAATAATAAATAGGATGTTAGCAAACAAAGTTTAGCTGGGTGGGGAATGAAGGTGGTGAGTATTAAAATGTAATTCCACGCTCTAATGAGGTTCATTGAGGGCTTCTGTTTCCCCCTGTTGATTCTGTGGAAATGTACCAAGTATTCTTTGCAGCTTTCTCCATAACTCGGCAGCTTGCACCATAAGGAAAGGGGAGCTAATACCTTACCCACCTGCACCTCCTTTCCAGCAGGATACACATTGGGGTGGTATATTGACCATCCCTAACTGCCAATTATCTCTTTGCCTGTCCCTTTTTAAAAGCCTGGGATTGTCTTTGGATTACTAGTGACACCTGTTGCCAGACTGCTTCTGACCTAAAGCTTTCTTCAGCTTTGTTGAGGTCAGGCAACTTGCCAGGTCCACCTTGGCAGGAGAGCCTCGGTTCCCGAGATAACTAGTTTTGTGTCTCTCTGATTACAACCTGATCACAGCCCTGTATTGTTCTTGGTGAGCAGTGAGGGCTATCACTGCAGGAGGCAGTCAACCCTACGTGCTTAGCAGGAGATCCATCTGAGATTTCTTTTAGGTCTGTTACATTAAGAAAAGGAGCTCTTCTTTCCAGTACTTAATAGGGCTACTCCATTTTACAGCTTTTTAGAGACATCTGTTTCTCTGGTTTTATGAGGTTAAGCAAAAAAGGGAATATTGAGTGGCAGTTTTTCACTTTTATTTTGTCACTCATCAACAGTAAAAACTTAACCTCTGGCTGCTGGACCCTTTTTCCCAAGACCAGCTTTTCCCATCTCTTTATACACACAGGAGTTATTGTGTTCTCAAAAAAGATGAACAGGCTTTAACATTAAGCAAGGCAAAACTTAAGAACTGAAGTAAAACTACTATCCACTTCTCCCCTCTAAACCATATATAGCAAGGAATGTAAAAGCCAAAAGCAATTGTGTTTTTTTACCAATTAAAACAAATTATTGGTATTTTTGGTAATTATTGGTAATTAATCATTAAATTATTTTTACCAATAAAAATGAAGCCCACACTCAGGATAGTATTAATTTCTCCTAACCCATTTACCGAGATGGTATAACCTAGATATTAGGAACATGAACTTTGCAATCAGAATGGTGTAAATCTCAGCTTATTAACTATGTATTCCAGGCAAATTACTTCATTTCCCTAACCTTCAGTTTTATGTGTATAAAATGGGGCTGATAATACCTAATTCTAATTATCCATACTAGCAGTTCTTACAACTAAGGAAGAAAGTTGGGTTAATAATATAGCCTACAAACCCTTACTCGGAAGATATTATGATAACTTCAAAATCAACATTTCTGTTACTGGTATATTATTTACAATGACTTTTATTATCTTTGTATTTTTACTATTAGTGGTAGTTTGGTATTTAGTGGTAGTTTCTAGGGCTACCCATCAAATATTTCTGGTTTTCTTCCAGATGAACCATAGTACTGTTGTGCCAGAATTCTACAAGGTACATGTGGCCAAGTGATTTGCTTTAGTTAAGAAAATGTGAGTGAAAGTGATGGATGCCACATCCAGACAAGCTTGGAAATCCAATGCATGATGTTCCATGATATTCTTTCCTTCTGCCATGGTGACAGGTGCCTGGTGACTTTCAAGGTGGTGGCTCCTCGTCAACCTCATTCCTCAAATGGTAACAACACTAGGCAGAGCTCTGAGCCAACTGTATGGTGCACATGAAGCATGAGCTAGAAATAAACCTTTGCTGTTTAAGTTACCGACACCGAAGGTGTTATCTCAGTTTTATCTGGACAAGCATGACTTCTGTATAGGGTTTCTTAAAAGCTCCCGAAGATTAAGCAAATGAGCCTCCAGATGACCTTTTATACCTAAAATAAACTCTTATACCTCTGTTGCAAGTTTATGTTTCATGATACAGTATGTTTCGGGTCATCTGACCCAGGCCTCAGGAACTGAAAGTGCCAGGCCACCTATACTCCCACCTGCTCTTCAGGTGACGCGGCTCCAAGGAATAACAGTGAGTCCATGCAAGTGACTGTGCCATTCACTCAACTTTTATTAATGCAAAGTCGATCCTAATCCATACTAATCTATTAACAATAATAATCATTCACAAACAATCAGCAATAACATTGCACAAGAGAGTCAGAGGATAACCCAAGTCCCAAGAGTCCAGGTCAGATCTGGTCTGGGAGGCAGCTGGGCTTGGCCATCAACTTCTTGCAAGGCAGAGTCAGGGGGACAGAAGTGAGGCGACCCTTTCTCTCCTGAGGCAGACCGGGCAGGTCCTCTCAAAGTGACTCATTCTGGGGACATGTAGTCCATGGTCTGAAGTCCTCTGCTTTTACGCCTCTTTCGCTTACAAAGTCATGTTGATTTTGCACAATTTCTCATATACATATTTATCTTCACTTGGGCAAGCACATGTTGTTTCTCTCAGTCCTGACAGGCACACATATACATCAGCTCTGATAGGCACACGTTGTTTTGCTTCCCTCTCTGAGAGGGTGGTATCCTCCTGAGATACGAACGAGCTGTCCGCCACTCCAAGGGGCGTATCATCCCCATGAGTCATCGCTCTGCTGCACAAGCTCCTGTGTTGCATTAGATCAAGGCCAGGCAGGTTCATGGTATTCGTGCAGACAGAAAAATATTCACGGAGCCATAGGGATGTCTGGCATTCACAGGTGGGCGAACCATGCACGCCACAAGCTATGTGTCTATCTGCACATCTCATGTCTTGGCCCCTGCTCCCCAGTGTGGCACCCATTGGGGCACCTGTCTCCTTGCGTGTCTCTCATCATCATTGCCTGCAGCAAGGAGTCCCTGCCTGTTTACGTACTAGAGGGAAACAAAACCTCAGGATGCCAGAAATTATGTGACATGACATAATTCTGTGCATGCGAATCCACCTCATGTTATGGGAACAGTTTATTGGACCTAATCTCAAGGCTATGGAATCGCTGCTTCCCTTAGCTACCCAGACACCTGGGTGCGGAAGCCAGACTGCCTCCACTTACCCTACACTCTGAACATGGCTTCAGGTTCTGCCCTCCATGGCCTCAGAAAAGTTTTAGCTTGATGGGTGTGATAAAATTTGGTCTACAAATTTGAGGGACTAATGATAATTTTGCCATTCTTAAAGGGCTCATTTTCCAATCTCCTGGTTATTGACATGATATATAATATATTATGCATAATATATATATAACACATCATCCTACAGCAAGTTTGTTTTTTCCCTGAGAACATTAACTAAAAGTTTTACAAAGTGACAAGGCAACATGAAGGAAATGCCCTTGTATTTAAGATTTAATATTAAAATTTTTACATTTTAAAAAGTTTGGTTCTTAGACCTCCTATGCCTATGTTATACAAGACTAATCCTTTTTAGATATATTTGCTATAAGAATCTGATGCTCAAGACTCAAGAAGCAAATCTATTACTTTACAGAACATTCATTAAGCTTTACTATGCCAAATTTATATTTTAGCTCCCTCTGCTGGAGAAATGTGCACCTCTATAAATATAGATTATTCCTACTAATGTGATTTTTTGACTACTGCTTTTCAAATATAGACTGTGAAGAATGTCTTATTTATTATCTGTACTAAAAGAAGTTTGTCCTTTAAGCAAATGTCCTTCTGACAAACTACGAGGGGGAACCCCCCAAAATGGGATTATCTTCTGGAGGTTGGGCCCCTTCTGGTACAGGCTTCCCCCACTAGGTGAGTGTTTTAGGAACCCACCTCTATTGGTATACCAGCTGGCATTGTTGAGAGAGGCTGCATTTGGCTTCAGTGAATTTTTTTTAATACTCTTTCAATGCATTTGCCTATTTCATGATGTGTGATTCAACAGCACACCTGCCCACACTGAACTGAGTGTTCAGCAGTTTTTGACCAAAAAACTGCACGACCCCCATCCCCCACATTCCCTATTCACCTTATCTTGCCCTGAGTGACTTCTTTTGTTTGTTTCCCCAGGTGAAAAAAGTCCTCAAAAGGAAACGTTTTGCCAATGTGGAAGAGGTAAAACAAACAAACAAATAAAAAAAGGCAGAAGCACTAAAAGGCATCAAAATCGAGAAGTTCAAAACCTTTTTGAGCAGTGGAAAAACATCTCAATAGGTGTATTGCATCATATGGAGAGCTCTTTGAAGATGGCTGAAGTTTAAATATGTAGAAATAAATGCACAATTTTTAATAAATAAAGTCTATTTGGGGGTTTCTGCCTTGTATTCATCTATAAATGGTATTTTTCTCCTGCAGATACTGTAGGAGAAATACAGATGCACATGCAGTCATTTATGTATAAATAGTTTGCACACTTACAATGGAAAAAAAGTACGTAGTGAAAATCAGAAATGTGTGAGACCATGCCACTCTCCGGCAAAACAGCCCCCCATGCTCACACGGCCTGTACTTACCAGTGCCCAATCTCTCTACAATGTATTCTGAGTTATGTGCCAACTTTCAGTCCAAATCATGTCATTCCTAATCATTCATTTAACAAACAATGTGACGGGTACAGTACTAAAGGCAGGAATTTCAATTTGAGCTAAAAAGATGTTAATATGCCTTCAGGTAGTTTACAGTCTTATTGGGTGGCAGACTTTTCACCAAATGAAGAGATCAATAAGTGTTTAATTATGAACTATGAGATGTACTTTGAAAGGACACAGTTATCTGTGAATATGTAACAGAGAGACCTAACTTAGGTCAACTAAGTTAGAAAGCAGTAATTTGTCTGAGATGGACGGACACTGATGGACAGGTGCAAACCAGATGAAGAGCATTCTAGGCACAGAAAGCAACAGGTTGAGAGGAAGCCCAGGTGGTGCAGGAGCAAAACACAGCAAGGTTCCAGTGAAGAGATCAGGCTCTGAGAGGACTGGGGAGTGAGGCAAGGCCAGACCAAAGAGTGACGGCAGAGTTTTGCTCTTATAATTAAGAATGACGGGAGCTGATGGAAAGGGAAACTGAGGGATAGGGCAGATGCTATAGGCAGGACAACATCAGCTCAGTGTTTCTAAACAAAATTACTCCTCTGGATTTTGGAGAAGAACTGATTGGATATAACAAGAGTGGTTTCCCTTAGACGCTAGAACTGAACCTAGTGCCTGAGCACGATGTTGAGTTCTCTATAACTAGGCACTTGCTATGTTTTCAACCTCACCCTTTCATAGGTTCTGTATACGGTTGTTTATCGTGCCCTGAGGACATCCACCACGCTCACTTGAAATGCCCTTTTCTTTTCTCCTTCTCTTGTCTCCACCTATAAAAATGCCATTCTTTCTTTTTGTTTTTTAAGTCCTTACCCGAAGACATACTTATTAATTTGAGAGATAAAGAAAAGGAGGGGGGAGAGAAACATTGATGTGAAAGAAAAACATTGATTGGTGGCCTCTTGTATGTGCCCTGACCGGGAACTGGACCCACAGCCTAAGCCTGTGTCCCGACCAGAAATCCTACTTGTGCTTCTCTACATTTTCTTTACATGGAATCTGCATTTCTGCACAACATGTTTTATCGCTCCCCTTGAAACTGTAAAAAACATAAGGACAACATCCTCTTCATCTTTATACCCTGTCTCCATATGCCTTAGACCATTGCTGAAAACCAAATAAATGCATTTAAAAAGTAAAATTTCACTATATGTTTCATTACAACCCCCTAATAAATCTCATTAAATGTATCATAGACACAAACTAATAAGGATACATCCACACACAGAAGTCCATTTAGGTAGCACTCCTAGGACCAGAATGGGCAAAAGGTCGATCTTTTGCTTGTGTTGGGAGACAAAAGAACAGTAGAAAGTATATAGAAAAAGAGGGGAAATGGGAAAGAATAAGGAGGTGAATTAGAGCAGGTGGGCAAGTTGGTGAGAGAGTGAATAGTAGGTGAGGTAACCAGAGTATGAGGATGTAAATAATCATGTTTATCTATAAAGCTAAGTTCTTGCTTCACAAAACTTGTCTTTCTCATGCATTTGTATTCAGTTGGAAAAACAGATTTGTAATAGTTTCAAAGAAACTATTATACATACATATTTACATAGGTATATACAAATACTGTACACATATACATTCACATGTTTTATATCTCTATGTGATCTGTACAGAAGGTGTCCAACCATGTAATATGAAAAATTTATTGAGGAAAATACAAGATACAAGAAACATCGTATATAGGACGATGATACCTCAGTTCCCTTCAAATTAATCACCTTGAGCTCTCACACAGTTCTCTCAGTCACCATCAGCTGCCCCATTATATTTTCCTGAATCTTATTGATGGTCTGAAATCTCTTTTCTTTCAAAAGTGATTTTAGTTTTGGAAAAAGCAAGAAGTCACAGGATGCCAAATCTGGGCTGTAGGGAGCTGAGTCAACTGGGTAATTTGAAGTTTTGCCAAAAAGCTCTGCATGAGGTATGATGCATGAGTGGTGTTGTTGTGATGAAGCTGCCCATCATCAGTTGCCTGTAGCTGTGGCCTTCTCAATCGCCTGAATAGATTCATGGAGGAATGTTCAAGCTTAAGGTAAAATTTGATGCAAATGCATTGCTCTACTCATCCAGTCATTTTGAATGTGATGGCCACACATATCACATGCTCACTCAATGGCATCTACCACTCCCACTGACTAGTACAGTGAAGTCCTCATTGTTCATGCATGTGCATTCCAGTCCACTCTCCTTGGTTGCCAGGTTACATACATGTCACACACACCCTTCTCATTATAGTAACAATGGTTGGACTTTTTCTGGACAGACCTCATATATATAAATATAAATATAAATGTAAGTATAAAAATTCTAATTATTCTTCCTTGCCATTTTCTAGTTTTGGGGGAAAGCTCTATTAAATTTAAGTTGATAAATGTTGTTCCTCTTGCTAATACCCGAAAGTCCTGACTAAGACTTAGAGGGAGGCTAAGGACAAGATCAGTGCATAAATTATCAGCTGTGGATCTTGCATATCCTGACTGAGTAGGCCCAGGGCGAAGGAGACCTAGGGGGAAACCGGAGATTCTGTTGGTGATGCTGATTCTGTTGGTCTGTGTACCATAGTTTAAATAGCAAGAGACTGAAGATTTCTGGTAGTCCTTTCCAGCTCTTTGGTGATTTTTTGAGTTGAAAAAACTATCTACTTTGGGGGGGTATTCACTTGTAAACCACCTATAAATCATAACTATATAGTTTCAGATGAAAACAAGGTAAGACACTGCAAGGCAAAGGATTCAAATGTTAAGTAGCAATCTTAAATATGATCCAGAGTTATTCTTAAGGCAACAAAAGCTGTCAGAGTAAGTGGTAAGTGCTAGGCTTGGATGTTTAGGGGTGCACTTAAGATCAGATATGCAGCCATTGTTGAGTGAAGGTTTGGTCTTAGTCTCACAGGGGTATGGACTTGATCAGTAGGTACCAACGTTTTTTGTTTGCAACCTACAGTAAGAAATATATCTTAGGTTGTGATCCTGTGCAAAGATAAAAGTTTCATAAATAAGATAATATCTTACACTATGAAATGTATTCTGATTTTTTTATTCTATTACAATCCACTAAAAATGCTTCTTGCAACTTGTGAATGTGTCTTGGCTTGAAGTTTGAAAATCGGAACTAAAGGTTTCTTTATTTTTATTTTTGGTCACTATTCATCAACAAAACGTCCTAAGACTGTATTGCATTGTCTTACTTATGGTGTGAGATGGAATGTTGAAAGGTATGTTTCCAGGGTAGACTAAATGGCAGAAAAACCTGCCATGTCTTCCAGGATTAATTCACATTAGAGGTATCAGTTGTTTGATATTTGCCCAACCTACAACATAACTATGCATTTGATTTTTAGAATGTTATGGAGGCAAACTGGAGTATTTCCGCTCTCACCCCCCACCCCACCCCAATAACCACTTACCTCTTATTTAAGCAGGCAGAAGAGCAGAATGGCAAAGAGCATGGTATCAGGGCTGACTTTCTGGGTCTGTACCTTGCTTCTCCCATTTATTGGCTACATAACATTGGTCTAGTCACTTAACATCTTGTGCCTCAGCTTCCTCATCTATAAAGTGGGAATAATAATAGTTCCTATCTAATAGAATTGAAGTGGCAATTAAATGAGCCAGTAGACAAGTCATACCACAGGAATGTTATTAGCTACTGTTAGCCAGACTTTAAGTTACAATGTAAAGTTTGAGCATAAGTTTACATTTTCATGATAAGGTGGAAAGTATTCTATTGATAAGTATTTTTTAAGCAGCAGCTTGAAAATAGTCGCTTGAGTTGCAATATTAAATCTAATTAAAGTGATTTTGGCAACCCCCAAATGCAATTTCCCCCCAGTCCTAATTCAAATGATATGAAATAACTATTATTCAACTGATTAACTTCCTAAAAGTATATGGGAAAAAGAGAAATTAAAATATTTTTTTAGAAAATAAAGATCCAGTAAAGCACTGCATTTCCCAATGAATGTAAAAGTCAGGGCTCAACTGTTCAAATTGAGGGATGCAGATTTCATTCTGTGTATCACCAAGGGAAACATGACATGATTTAGTAATTCTTCTCTTTTTGCTTAGTTCCCCCCCACCCCCACCATACACACACACACACACACACACACACACTCTGGTCTATATTGTTACCTAATTGTTTTGTTAGGCAAAGGTGGTTATGGTACTTTAGAGATAAGATAGTTTGAGCTGCTAAAGGAAAAGAATATGATGTCCGTTGAAACTAAATATTTGTTCCCCCACCTGCCGATCACATGTTGCAATACTAACCCCTCAGTATGATGGTATCAGGAGGTGGGGCCTTTGAAAGTATTTAGGTCATGAAGGGAGAGCCCTCATCAATAGGAATAGTGCCCTTGTCAAAGGAACTCTGAAAAGCTCTCCTTTTTCTGCCCTGTGTGGCCACAGTGAGAAGATGGCTGTTGAGGAACCGGGAAGTGTTTCTTCCCAGACACTGAACCTGCTGGTGCCTTGATCTCGGACTTCCAGCCTTCAGAACTATGAAACATAAATGTTCGTTGTTTAAGCCACACAGTTCTACAATATTTCTGTCGTAGCAGCCCAAGTGGACCAAGACAATATCCACAATCAATGTTCAACCTATGACATCGTGAAAGTTCTTAAATTATAAATTGTTTAGCTTTTCCTTTAAAACTAACAAATTAACCTAAGCAGCTACAATAAAACCCCTTATACATATGGTTTA